ATTGTGATTTAGATGAAAATTTGCAGAACAAATTCATTTTCTATACAATAGTTCATATAATTTTGTTTCATGACATTGATTGCAGTCCCCACAGTGTAACAGCCCTTTTCCCACTTCCTCCCTGTGGCTACCTTTTCCCTGTGTCCTTCTTTCCCATGCATTCCTGCTCTCCCGGCTATCTCTCTGTGCAAATACTACCCTTCTGCTTTTCCATGGTTTATTGTTCTAAGGAGTGTACCTACCTGGTGTAAATGTTCACCCTATATACCTGTCTACTGTTTGGCTGGAAGCCACAGGAGTGAATTCAGTTCCAGACCTGAAGTGTGACTAGGGGCCATACTTTTGCCGGTTTTAGCAGTCAGAATGATGAGACTTTTTAACACTTATTGCTGTAAGAACTGTATTGGGAAAACCTCATCTTAAATAATTGTAGTATACAATTAGAGAGACTGAAAAGGAACAAATCACTAGTGGTGCTAACTCATAATTCATAATACATATACCCATATTGGCTGACCCCTTTTTTTGAAATTGTTTTAAAGTTTTGGGAATACCTCATAGTTTTAGAAATTCATACCAACTCCATCTCAGTAGTTGCAATGGCCCTAGTATAGCATTTCCATAAGCATGAGTTACACTAGTTATCAATAAATTTTAGGAAAAAAAATAAGAGATGGAGATTTTTATAGTCCACCTAAGCGTAGGAAACTTATTTGAGTTAGAAAAAAATCAAACCAATTTTATTTTTTGGAAATACTTTTCAGAGCCTTTCATATGCTAATTGTGTTGTGACTCTCCCAGGAAGAGACCAGCATCTCATCTGTCAGATTCTTGCAGGACCTTAATGCTCTGGAATACATCTTGGGAAATGTTATCTTAGAAACATTGCTTTTTTCACTTTGTGTCTCTGATGAATTCTAATGAGGTTTAGCTAAACAATTAGCTGCAAATCAAGGGTGGAGGAAGAACTCATGATGAAATAATAATTGCTGATACCTATTGAGTGCTTACTATGTGCTAGGCACTATTGAGTGCTTACTGTGTATGAGTGCCATAGATGTATTAATTGGTTTAATTCTCTCAGCAACTCTCTGAGGCCGATGCACTCATTATCCTCATTTTATAGATGAGGAAACTCAGAGGCAGATGGGTTAAGTAACTTGCTCAAGCTCAAACAACTATAAAATGGTAGAGCCAGCATATGAAATCAAGTACAAGTGCTCTTCATTTCTCTGCTGTACAGTTAGGGGGCTTCTCTGTGTGTGGTACATGTGCTGTGGTATGTACGTGTGCATGCATGGGGTGAGGGTATTTCTAGATGAGAGAACAGCATGGAAGTATGAAATAACACTGAGTTTTGTGTGGTTGGAGGTCATGTTTAGAAATGGGAAGAAATGAAACTGTGTACAAGTTCAGGTACAGATCCTGGAGAGCCTGATCTATCACACAAAGGGATTTGGGATTTATATAATGGGACCACCTGCTCTGTCAGATTGCTTTAAGGACTTCAGCAAGCCCAGAGTGCTTATGAGTAAAAATAATGTAGACTGAGTCAAGTTGGAGGTTAGGAATGCATACTTTTACATTTTGCAGGTAGCACAATTGTCGTCATCAACTTCCTGCCATTGTACCTTGCTGCCTAGTGGAACTTGCACTGAGCAGAGACAGTAGACACAGAAGTCTACCTGAATTATGTTTGAGATGAACATAGTATAGCAGACATGTAAAGGATGACTCCCTCTCTTACCTCTCTTTACTTCTGCAGTTTTTCTGCATATATTTTCTATGCTTCTATAAGTGGGAGAAAAGGCTAGTAGAATGTATGTAACTCAAGGAGGTAAATACTTTATGAGATTTTAGGGACTGGCTTAAGGTTTAATTAAAGAGGTATAAATAGAGCCACACCATCTGCTAAGAAGACTTAACATGTTAATTGTGTGTGTGTATATTTAACTTAATAGTAGTAAAAATATACAAATATTCCTTATAATCCAAATCTCTTTGGTTCCTGAATTTGGATTTAGTGAGTAGTGAGGTTTTAGATAGCAAGGGATTTATTTGAAATATTATCAGAATCTGTTTGGCTCCTGAGTTTGGATTTGGATAGCAAGGAACACTTGGATTGGAAATCCATTTTTTTCTCAAAGGAGGTGAGAATGCCTGTATGACTACATACATTTCTCTTCAGAAGTGGTGGCAAGATTGTGACTTTATGAAGGTCACAGAATAGATCATTATGTTTGTTGTTGTTATGTGCCATCGAGTCAGCCCAGATTCATAGTGACCCCTCCTTGGGTTTCCAAGGCAGTATCAGTACAGAAGTAGATTGCCCCATCTTCCTTCCGAGGAGTGGCTGGTGGGTTTGAACCACCAGCCTTATGGTTAGCAGTCAAGTGCCTTAGGCACTATGCTACCAGAGCTCCTATAAGAACTAGAAAAAAACTGAGTTGTTCTAATTGAGTCTTACTACAAGGCCTTCATGCACCCTTAGAGTGCTTAGCAAAATGAACAGAAGACCCCAGAAATCAATGATACTTAAGACAACCTTGACTAACTGCCCCAGTGTGTCCGAAGGAACTTAATATAGAGAATATTTGTAAGAGAAAGGGTGCATATGTTTGTTATACCTTTGAAAATAAAATAAATTGGGGGCAGGCAACTTTGTATAGTAGGAAGATTTAAAGTTAATTTTAGAATGAATTTTTAACTTGATCAGTTTTATTTTGAAGAAGTAACATCTGCTGCCAGTTCACATTTTTTTATATCCCTGTGTTGCTTCTGTGAATAATTGTCTCAGCTTGGTTACTTGCTACTGACTTTAAATCCTGTTTATGTTTCCTCTTGGTACCACAGAAAAAAAAAAGTTTACATAGGACATGGGAGATAGGGAGGGGAGCAGGGAACAATGTTGCAGGATGTATGATGAAAAAGAGAGTGTTTGATAAAGAGAAAAATCATTTTAAGTGCCTTCATATCTCTGTTGTCCTACAAGCCAAGACTCAATGTTGGATTACACACAGACTTAGCAGTCAGCAGCTGTAGGAAGGAATACACAAGCAATGGTCTCCACTTGCATCTGTGGGATTTGGTTTCTCTTTTTTAAACCATTATGAGTTGAGTGGGTCACAGAACGCAGATTTTATCTTTGTTCTTGACATAATTTTATAGTATATTTGATGACTCCAATTTATTCTCAGGTGGGTTTGCTGAGTTCTCCCGTTGCTTCCCTGGCCTGTGTGAAGGAAAATCTACTCTAGTCCCTACCTGTATTTCTCAGCCCTGCCTACCTGTCGCCAACATTGGGCCAACCCGAATTCTTCCCAATCTTTATCTTGGCTGCCAACGAGATGTCCTGAACAAGGTCAGTGCTTTGAAAATATCCTTATTTGCAGCGTTTATTATTAGCAGAGAAACCGCTATTGCCTATTAAATGTCATTTCAAACACACCCCAGTCCCATAAAGGAAGTCTCAACTCACTGCCATCAAGTTCGATCTGACTCATTGTGACCCCTCCTTGGGTTTCCGAGGCAGTATCACTACGGAAATAGATTGCCCAACCTTCCTTCCGAGGAGTGGCTGGTGGGTTTGAACTGCCAGCCTTCTGGTTAGCAGTCAAATGCTTTAGGCACTACGCCACCAGAGCTCCTAGAAAGGAAGTACACCTCGTAATGTGACTTTGCAGTTAACAGTTGCATCATAGTTTGGAGTTTTATTTTGGTTTAAGTTTACTTATTGCTCACAGGAAATCTAAACTGTAGTCATAGTTATGGTCCTCATAGGCCCAAGAGACCTGGAATAGGGTAGGATTTCTTATAAATTTAGCCTGATTTTCTTAGAGTATTAATAATTTGTTATAATAGTTAGGCACACTCATGAAGCATGTACACTTTTCTAAGCTAATACTGCCTGAATTAATTCCTATTTAAAAATGTATTTACTTGCTGTAGCTCACTAGAAAGGAATTCAGACTAAGCTTGGATTGAAGAAGAGCCTCATGATGACTGGCAGGCTTGGAGGAGGCAGTAAAAAGACTATGAGGACAAGGGCTAAAGTTATGAATTGTAGGCCTCCTTTGTCTAAAGCTGGTTGGAGCAGTTTAGTTGAGAAGGAGGGAAGAGAATAGATTTTGCTGAAAAGGACATATGGGTCATACTGAGCAAGATGTACCCTAAAAGCAGAGGAGGACATTAGATTCAGGCACATAATAAATAGTACAGCATAACAACAATAGTAGAGCTAAAATTTGTCTGACTCCACAGCTTATATATTCTTAGCCAGTAGTGTTGCAAAAAAGTGCTCTAATTGCCTGAAAAAGGGCTATTTCTCTAAAAATAATTAATTTACTTCACCATTTCTTGAAAAACAATCAAAGATCTTAATTCATGTGTTGATGATTTACAAGTTCTAATTCCTTTATAAAGGAAAGTACCTTAAGTATTTCTTGTTGAATACTTTCTTTCCTGGAAAAGTTGGGCTGACTACAAACTAAGCTTCCAGATTGGCTTTCTTGAGCATGTGGAAAGCAAAGTTATCCAGGAGGGAAGAAAAAAAAAACCCAACTCTGTCATTGGGTTGTGACTGAAGGGGACAGAGAAAAAATGAAAGGAGAGAACACTGTCTGCCTCTTGGAATTCTACAGGCAGGAAACAGGCCAAAGAAGCTACATCTGTTGTCCTCTAACAAAAGAAAAGAAACATCCCTGGAGTGGCTTGGAGATCAGCAGAACTGTTGTAAGGAGCATGGGAAGCAGAGCTGCCTGGGTCTCAAAGGGTGGGCCATGGGCCTCTGGGGTTTTCAAAGGGTGGGACTACCATCTTCTGGATCTCAAAGGGTGCAACCATAGTCTCCTCAGTTTCAATGAGTCAAATCTTCACCAACTCATTTCTGGAGTATGGGGCTGCTATAAAGGTGTGCCAGGAGGTGGATCCACCACCCAAAGCCGAGGGAGTGGGGCTGCCTTGCTCAGGGGACACAATAATAGGGCCTGCTGTGGTAGAAGAGATGGGGTTGCCACTCTGTAGCCTAGGAGAATGGGGCTGCCCAAAGTTGAGGGAGCAAAGTTGCCATCCCAGTGAGCCTGGAAGGTGGAGCTGACATCCAGGGCCAAGAGGCCTTCACCCAGGATCCAGAGAGCATGGCCAGCACCCAGAGTCTGGAGGATAGGGCCATTGCATACATGATCTCAGAAAAGATGGCATTATTTTCAAGCCTTGAGAGCTAATGTAAATTATTCTGCTGTGTTTTGGACCTGCTTGTTGCCTGTTACACCTTTTTTCCCTCTGATTTCTCCCATTTTTAATGAAAATGTCTACTTTGTGCCTGTTACATCATTGTACTTTGGAAACAGATGACTTGTAGTCTAGATTTTGCAGGTTCACAGATGAAGAATTTTGCCCCAGGATGGAATGTGCCTAAAGTCTCATATTTGATTTAGATGATTCAGAAGATGAGGTTTTAGACTTTGAGTGGATTGAAGACTTGGGATGATATGATGGGGTGAATGTGTTTTACGTGTGGCAAGGAGGTGAATTTTTGGGGGCCAAAGGTAGAATGTCATGGATTGAATTGTGTCCCCAAAAAATATGTCAGCTTGGCTAGGTCATGATTCCCAGTATTGTTTGGTTGTCCTCCATTTTTGGGATCGATGTAATTACCCTCTATTTTGTGTATTATAAATCCTAACCTCTGTACGTTAATGAGGCAGAATTAGTCTGGGTTATATCCTGAGTCACACACAGCCTTGTAAGATTGTGTGACTTGAGTTCCACCCTTACTCAAGTCACATCCTTGCTTGAGTCACTACACATTTTATCTTAAAAGAGGTAAAAGGAGAAAGAGAAGGGAGCAGAAGGGAGATGGACTTCACTACTACCAAGAAAGAAGAGTCAGGAACAGAATACATCCTTGGAACCCAGGGCCCCTGGGCTGAGAGCCTTCTAAAGCAGGGGAAGATGAATGCCAAGACACATGGAGATCTCCAAGGAATGCCAGGCCCACAGATGTTGAAAGGAGACAAGGATCTTCCCCTAAAGCCAGTGACCTATATTCAGACTTCTAGCCTAAATGTGAGGAAAAAAAAAAATTTTTAATTCAAAAAAATGTATTAGGCATCTGTTATTTGCCAGCAACTATGTGATACATGCTATTTTGATACCTAAAATAAATAAACTTAACAAGTAATCTATGAAACAGATAATCTACCTTATTGTATATTATATTGCCATCCCCTTCATCCTAGTTAGTGGTTTACCTTCCCTTCCCCTCCCACCCCTAGTAACCATTAAAGAATATTTCTTTTTGTGTGAAAACCTTTTCTTGAATTTTTATAATGGCTTCTTACAATATTTGTCCTTTTGTGATTGACTAGTTTCACTCAGCATAATGTTCTCTAGGTCAATCCATGTTATGTTTCATAGATTCATTGTTGTTCTTGAACGTTGCATGGTCTGTTGGTGTATGTGCTATAGTTTGTCCATTCACCCAATGATGGGGATTTACATTGTTTCCATCTTTTTCCCATTGTGAATAGTATTGTGATGAATACGAGTGTGCATATATCTGTTCATGTCACGGCTCTTAAATCTCATTAAATGTGGAAGAGATAGCCTCTTTAACAAATGGTGCTGGCAAAACTGGATATCCATTTGCAGAAAATGAAACCAGACCCATATATCATACCATATACAAAAATAAACTCAAGATGGATCAAAGACCGAATTGTAAAACCTGAAACTATAAAGACCATCAAAGAAAAAATAGAGACAAACGTAGGAGTCCTACTACATGGCATAAATGACTGTATTAAACATAACTAAAAACACATGAACACCAGAAGACAAACTAGATGACAGGGACTTCGTAAAATTTAGACAATTATGTGCATTAAAAGAGTGAAAAGAGAACCTGCAGAATTGGAAAAAAATTTTGACAATGACATATCGAATAAGGGGCTAATCTCTAAAATTTATAGAAAGTTTCAACACCTCAAGCACAAAAAGAAAAGTAATGTAATTAAAAAATGGTCAGAGGGTATGAACAGACACTTCACCAAAGAAGACCTTCAGACAGCAAACAAACACATGAAGAAAGGTTTGTGATCATTAGCCATTAGAGAGATGTAACTCAAAACAACAATGAGGTATCATCTCACCCAAGCACTCATAGCAAAGTTCGGAAAAATGGAAAACAACAAATGCTGGCGAGGGTGGGGAGAGACTAGAACCCTCATACACTGCTGGTGGGACTGTGAAATGCTGCCACCACTGTGGAAAATGGTATAACAATCCCTTAAAAAGCTGGAAATAGAAATACCATATGATCCAGCAATCTCATTTCTAGGTGTCTATCCTAGAGAAAGAAATTTGTTTGTTAAGGCCATCCATTGGTGGTATTTTTGTTGTAGCAGCACCAGATAACTAAGATAAGTGGCCATGAAGCATTCCTTTTTTTCTTATGTGTTCTCAAAACTCCTTGCCACTTTGACTGGGATCTTAAAAGCTTGTGAGCACCCATCCAAGGTGCAAACTATTGGTCTCTCCCTATCTGGAGCACAGAAGTGTGAGAAAATCAGACACAAGGAAACAGTTAATCCAAAGGACTAATGGACCCTGTAAACGCCAGCCTCCTGAGATCAGAACTAGATGGTACCTATTGACCACTGCTGACCATGCTGAAAGGGATCAAAATAGGAGGTCCCAGATAGAGTGGGAGAAAAATGTGGAACAAAATTCAAAATCATAAAAAGACCAGGAAAAGGAGGCGGGGCAAGATGGCGGACTAGGCAGAAGGATTGCACAGACCCTCTTCAACAAAGAAAAGGGAAACCAATAAATACAGACACAGAAGATAATCTTGGACCCCTGAGCCTTGAAGGAAAGGATGCAGATTTGGACTAAACCCCAACTAGCAGAAGAATTTGCGTGAAAATACC